TTCCTACAGGCCGTTGTATTGTGCAGTCGTAAACGTTTCCAGATTACTGAACAGGGAGATTCTGTGGATTTTCTCTCATGGTTGCTGAACTCTCTTGATCTAGCCCTTCGCTCTAACTCTTCTGGAATTGGTCCTTCAACTGCTCGCCAATCTTCAACAGCAGCCCCTGCTACTAAAAACCTTGATTCAATACATCAACTTTGTCCAGGGGCCTCAGTAATCAGCCGTAGTCTGCGTGGTCGGATGATCGTGCACAGCAAAAAGGTGGTTCCCGTAAGCTTGACACCTGAGCAACGAGCGAGGCTTGCTGATGACCCCGAATATTTGGTAAATTTGGGTAATTAATCTAAATTTTTAATGCTCTTTTCTACAATTTTGAGTGGTACTTAAAAGGTACTATTTTTCATAGCATGATATCTATAGTCGCATTTTATTCCCTAATAGTCAACTTTTGAATCTAGGCTCAATATGTCATATATAGTCGACTTATCTGATAATTCAAGCGAATCTAACTTAGAGCTATACTCACCATAGGTTGTACATGGACTCATTTGACTTTTCCTACAATGATATGATTGGTTTTCATATTATTGAATTTCATTTATGATTGCAATCCAAAAGGTATTCTCATCTAAGGTGGACTGCTATTTTGGTCCAGCCTGTGCCTCATCGACATTATCAGTCCTTCATCACGTGACCTTGGGCTAATATTGCTATTATAAATAAACACTATACGATGTTAAGTAATCAAGCTAATTGTAATAGCAAATACAAGTTCGCTTTGTAGATAACCCCAACTCTGTCCTGTGATCTACTAGCATCCCTTGTCCGGGCAGCTTTGGGCAATGTCGAATAGATACGCTGCACTACTTGAATTCGATTTAGTTTAGGGGTGCTGGTGATACTCAGGCGAAGCCGAAACTGCAGTCCAATTAGCTGAGAATGCCTTTTGGGAAGTTGGATGTCACCTCAAGCCTTTCACCTATCAGTGCAGGAGAATTCAGCTATTAGTTCTTCAAAACTAAGCTGTAATTCACAATC